CCGATCTGAATGATTCGTGAATCCGCTGCGAAACCCCGATCTGAATGATTCGTGAACCCGCTCCGAAACCCCGATCTGAATGATTCACAAATATTCGCTCCGAAGTTCCGATCTAAATCAAATGATTCGCAACACGCTTTGAAGTTCCGATCTTAATCATATAATTCGCGATATGCGCTCCGAAACCCCGATCTGAATGATTCGTGAACCCGCTCCGAAACCCCGATCTGAATGATTCACAAATATTCGCTCCGAAGTTCCGATCTAAATCAAATGATTCGCAACACGCTTTGAAGTTCCGATCTTAATCATATAATTCGCGATATGCGCTCCGAAACCCCGATCTGAATGATTCGTGAACCCACTTCGAAGCCCCGATCTGAATGATTCGTGAACCCACTTCGAAACCCCGATCTGAATGATTCGTGAACCCGCTCCGAAACCCCAATCTGAATGATTCACAAATATTCGCTCGGAAGTCCCGATCTGAATCAAATGATCTGTGAAATGCTCGATTTGCTAACCCACTCTGAATCTAATGATTCACGCTCCGAAGTCCAGATCTGAATCAGATGATTCACGAACCCGCTCCGAGGTTCCGATCACGTGCATACCCTGCATACGCTACACCCCTGACCATAGTATTATTTGTAAGGAGCTGCAATGCTATTTTTTTAATTATTTGTATACATTTTCAACCGTCATTTGACTTATAGGTAGGCTATGCATTTTTAGTTTTTCAAATATTTCAAAATTAAATGTATGTACTTATATAATCTAATTTAGCACACAATCCCGTCATGAATTACGCATGACACATTACTGAATACATTTAACAGTAGTTACAACAGACACAGTCTACCTCGCTAGTGGAAACCGTGAAGTCCCGCCTACGGGGCCATTTGATTGGCTGCTATTTGTGGACGCGGCTGTGGGTTTTATATCCTCCTCCGCCACTGGTCCGTGCCGCTGTCAATCAGAAATCCTAACTCGCTCCATGTTAGACTGAAGTGTGTGAAAGTACTGTTGAAGGACTCGCGTGTGTTCAGTTATTTCAGCTCGTTAATGGACTAACCGAGACGAGCGGGGGAAAAGCCGTGCATATAGCATGATAAGTGAGTATATGTTTAAAAAAATCCTTTATACGAGCTCTACATGAGTCTCGTGTACATTCGCCGATGGCGTGGCGGTTCATCTCATGTGACCATTAAACAAACTGAGCTTATAAAGCATCTCTGATTATTAAACTCATTCATGTGTGTCTTTGCAAACTTCATATGAGGGAGAACAGATTTGGACATGTTAGATGAGAAGGGTTGGTGAAGGACAGACTCTGCTCTTGCTGTTTTAAGCAGTTGACAAGGCAGTTGTGCTCGAGCTGTCATTGCTCAAGTGTGCGTGCGGTTGCATGTACATATGTGTGTGTTTCTGAGTGTGTGTACGTATGTGCATGGGTTTGTACGAGTATGTGTGTGTTTAAATTCTTTTTTGTCTGTATTTATGCATGCATGCATGCTTATATTTGTTTATGCATAGTGTTTGTTTGTGTGCTTGTGTACACGCACAAAAGTGCATGGGTTTGAGTGCTTGATGTGTGTGTGCATTGTTTTCTGTGTAACATGCTTGAGTGTAAATATTCATGCACGCAGTGTTATTTGTATTTAGAGTTTGTGTATACATGCATGTATTGTTTGAGAGCTTATTTGTAGTCAAAGTGTGTGGATGCATGGATGTTTGTTAGCCTTATGCGTTCTTGAGTGTTTGTGCATGCAGTAGTAAGTGTCTTAAGTTGTGTAATGCGAGTTGCACACACGCATCAGTCACGGTTCCCCTTCCTTCCAGTCACTGCATGACAGATGATCAGCCTGTTTTTAAAGGAGCAAGATTATAAAAGGAAATGACCTCTGTTATGAGAGAAGCCACTCGTGAAGAGATAAGAGTCGTGCACAACGAGCAGAAAATCACAGTTGTCCGCTGGTTATCTGACAGCCGATTAGATGCATGCAGATGTGACTGGTGTCCCTCTGGCACGTGAAGACCACAGCTGTTCAGATATTATTATTATATGGCATGTTTTGTAGATGTGAGCTCGAGCTGATGAACATCACAGAGGTTCCAGTGACAGTTTCTCGTCTCAGCCTCAGATTGCAGGGCCACAGTCTGGTTATTGACCGTCTGATGCATTTGTGCACAGAAACGAGCTGGTTGCAGTCACCATATTTGGTCAAATTTGCAAGGTTAGTGTCATTTAAGATGCTAAGAGGCACTTGGTAGCAAGTAAGCTAGATATCTACAATCTGAATTGCCTATTCTCCTTTGTTTTCAGAGTTCAGTCTGTGAAAAAGAGTTGAGATGTTTTAATTGCATCCCATGTAAAAATGTGGTTTTGTAAAATGAGCTGGCAAGTGATTCATTTCTGTCAATCATTCAAACTGTCCGTCGATTCAAACCGAATCGATTCAAAGCTCTAATTCACAGATTTGTTTGCTTCATCACTCCAAAATTTTAAAGGATGTCCCTGTGTGACATTTTTCATGTATTAAAATGTTTTAGTAGGAGTAAATAATATTAGGGCTGGGTTGACAGTATCGATTTCTCTTTTTTGATCTGTCTTTGTTTTAATAAACTGATATCGATTCTTAAAACCCAAGATTGATCTTTTGTGTGCAGTAGTCATAATAAGCTTTGTGCTTCACTTTTGGTATCAAACAAAGTCTTCGCTTTGAAGTTTGGACTCGGTTGTTAATTTTAATCTTTAATATTTCTGATATTATCACCAACTGACATAGTGTAGTTTATAGTGTTAGTTGAGAGATTGTTTTTCTTAAAGGGTTAGTTCACCCAAAAATGAAAATTAGGCTGTGTTTTACTCACCCCCGAGGCATCCTAGGTGTATATGACTTTCTTCTTTCAGACGAATCCAGTCGGAGTTATATTAAAAATTATCCTGGCTATTCCAAGCTCTATCATAGCACTCAGCGGGTGTTGCAGTGCTTCAGTCCAAAA